CACTGCGAGTCGAGTTTTCACTGTGAACATTCGAATGCTAGTCGAGCATTTTCACTGTGAACACTCGAATGCTAGTCGAGTTTTCATTGTGATCATTCGAATGCTAGTCGATCGTTCACTGTGAACACTCGAATGCAAGTCGAGTTTTCACTGTGAACATTCGAATGCTAGTCGAGCGTTCACTGTGCACATTCGAATGCTAGTCGAGCGTTCACTGTGAACACTCGAATGCTAGTCGAGTTTTCACTGTGAACATTCGACTGCTAGTCGAGCGTTCACTGTGAACACTCGAATGCTAGTCGAGTTTTCACTGTGAACATTCGAATGCTAGTCGAGCGTTTACCATGAACACTCGAATGCTAGTCGAGTTTTCACTGTGAACATTCGAATGCTAGTCGAGCGTTCACTGTGAACACTCGAATGCTAGTCGAGTTTTCACTGTGAACATTCGAATGCTAGTCGAGCATTCACTGTGAACACTCGAATGCTAGTCGAGTTTTCACTGTGAACATTCGATTGCTAGTCGATCTTTCACTGTGAACATTCGAATGCTAGTCGAGCGTTCACTGTGAACACTCGAATGCTAGTCGAGTTTTCACTGTGAACATTCGAATGCTAGTCGAGCGTTTACCATGAACACTCGAAAGACTCGAAAGCTAGTCGAGTTTTGTGCTAGTCCTTGTGTTCACCGACTTCACTGCGAGTCGAGTTTTCACTGTGAACATTCGAATGTTAGTCGAGCATTTTCACTGTGAACACTCGAATGCTAGTCGAGTTTTCATTGTGAACATTCGAATGCTAGTCGAGCGTTCACTGTGAACACTCGAATGCAAGTCGAGTTTTCACTGTGAACATTCGAATGCTAGTCGAGCGTTCACTGTGCACATTCGAATGCTAGTCGAGCGTTCACTGTGAACACTCGAATGCTAGTCGAGTGTTCACTGTGAACATTCGACTGCTAGTCGAGCGTTCACTGTGAACACTCGAATGCTAGTCAAGTTTTCACTGTGAACATTCGAATGCTAGTCGAGCGTTTACCATGAACACTCGAATGCTAGTCGAGTTTTCACTGTGGACATTCGAATGCTAGTCGAGCGTTAACCGTGAACACTCAAATGCTAGTCGAGTTTTCACTGTGAACATTCGAATGCTAGTCGAGCGTTAACCGTGAACACTCGAATGCTAGTCGAGTTTTCACTGTGAACACTCGAATGCTAGTCGAGCGTTCACTGTGAACACTCGAATGCTAGTCGAGCGTTCACCTCGAACACTCGAATGTTTGTCGAGCGTTCACCGTGATCACTCGAATGCTAGTCGAGCATTCACCGAGAACACTCGAATTCTAGTCGAGAGTTCACCGTGAACACTTGAATGCTTGTCGAGTTTTCACTGTGAACATTCGAATGCTAGTCGAGCGTTCACTGTGAACAATCGATTGCTAGTCGAGTTTTCACTGTGAACATTCAAATGCTAGTCGAGCGTTCACCGTGAACACTCGACTGCTAGTCGAGTTTTCACTGTGAACATTCGAATGCTAGTCGAGCGTTGACTGTGAACACTCGATTGCTAGTCGAGTTTTCACAGTGAACATTCAAATGCTAGTCGAGCGTTCACTGTGAACACTCAAATGCTGGTCGAGCGTTCACCGTGAACACTCGAATGCTTGTCGAGCGTTCACCGTGAACACTCGAATGCTAGTAGAGCATTCACTGTGAACACTCGAATGCTATTCGAGTTTCCACTGTGAACATTCGATTGCTAGTCGAGTTTTCACTGTGAACATTCGAATGCTAGTCGAGCGTTCACTGTGAACACTCGAATGCTAGTCAAGTTTTCACTGTGAACATTCGAATGCTAGTCGAGCGTTTACCATGAACACTCGAATGCTAGTCGAGTTTTGTGCTAGTCCTTGTGTTCACCGACTTCACTGCGAGTCGAGTTTTCACTGTGAACATTCGAATGCTAGTCGAGCGTTCACTGTGAACACTCGAATGCTAGTCGAGTTTTCATTGTGAACATTCGAATGCTAGTCGAGCGTTCACTGTGAACACTCGAATGCTAGTCAAGGTTTCACTGTGAACATTCGAATGCTAGTCGAGCGTTCACTGTGAACACTCGAATGCTAGTCGAGTTTTCACTGTGAACATTCGAATGCTTGTCGAGCGTTCACTGTGCACATTCGAATGCTAGTCGAGCGTTCACTGTGAACACTCGAATGCTAGTCGAGTTTTCACTGTGAACATTCGACTGCTAGTCGAGCGTTCACTGTGAACACTCGAATGCTAGTCGAGTTTTCACTGTGAACATTCGAATGCTAGTCGAGCGTTCACTGTGAACACTCGAATGCTAGTCGAGTTTTAACTGTGAACATTCGAATGCTAGTCCAGCGTTTACCATGAACACTCGAATGCTAGTCGAGTTTTCACTGTGGACATTCGAATGCTAGTCGAGTTTTCACTGTGAACATTCGAATGCTAGTCGAGCGTTCACCGTGAACACTCGAATGCTAGTCGAGTTTTCACTGCGAACATTCGAACGCTAGTCGAGCGTTCACCGTGAACACTCGAATGCTAGTCGAGCGTTCACCTCGAACACTCGAATGTTTGTCGAGCGTTCACCGAGATCACTCGAATGCTAGTCGAGCATTCACCGAGAACACTCGAATGCTAGTCGAGAGTTCACCGTGAACACTTGAATGCTTGTCGAGTTTTCACTGTGAACAATCGAATGCTAGTCGAGCGTTCACCGTGAACACTCGAATGCTAGTCGAGTTTTCACTGTGAACATTCGAATGCTAGTCGAGCGTTCACTGTGAACACTCGATTGCTAGTCGAGTTTTCACTGTGAACCTTCAAATGCTAGTCGAGCGTTCACTGTGAACACTCGAATGCTGGTCGAGCGTTCACCGTGAACACTCGAATGCTTGTCGAGCGTTCACCGTGAACACTCGAATGCTAGTCGAGTTTTCACTGTGAACCTTCAAATGCTAGTCGAGCGTTCACTGTGAACACTCGAATGCTAGTCGAGTTTTCACTGTGAACATTCGAATGCTAGTCGAGCGTTCACTGTGAACACTCGATTGCTAGTCGAGTTTTCACTGTGAACCTTCAAATGCTAGTCGAGCGTTCACTGTGAACACTCGAATGCTGGTCGAGCGTTCACCGTGAACACTCGAATGCTTGTCGAGCGTTCACCGTGAACACTCGAATGCTAGTCGAGTTTTCACTGTGAACCTTCAAATGCTAGTCGAGCGTTCACTGTGAACACTCGATTGCTAGTCGAGTTTTCACTGTGAACCTTCAAATGCTAGTCGAGCGTTCACTGTGAACACTCGAATGCTGGTCGAGCGTTCACCGTGAACACTCGAATGCTTGTCGAGCGTTCACTGTGAACACTCGATTGCTAGTCGAGTTTTCACTGTGAACCTTCAAATGCTAGTCGAGCGTTCACTGTGAACACTCGATTGCTAGTCGAGTTTTCACTGTGAACCTTCAAATGCTAGTCGAGCGTTCACTGTGAACACTCGAATGCTGGTCGAGCGTTCACCGTGAACACTCGAATGCTTGTCGAGCGTTCACCGTGAACACTCGAATGCTAGTCGAGTTTTCACTGTGAACCTTCAAATGCTAGTCGAGCGTTCACTGTGAACACTCGATTGCTAGTCGAGTTTTCACTGTGAACCTTCAAATGCTAGTCGAGCGTTCACTGTGAACACTCGAATGCTGGTCGAGCGTTCACCGTGAACACTCGAATGCTTGTCGAGCGTTCACTGTGAACACTCGATTGCTAGTCGAGTTTTCACTGTGAACCTTCAAATGCTAGTCGAGCGTTCACTGTGAACACTCGAATGCTGGTCGAGCGTTCACCGTGAACACTCGAATGCTGGTCGAGCGTTCACCGTGAACACTCGAATGCTTGTCGAGCGTTCACCGTGAACACTCGAATGCTAGTAGAGCGTTCACCGTGAACACTCGAATGCTTGTCGAGCGTTCACGGTGAACAATGTCTCTTCCAATTTGATTTAGAGGGAGATTGTTTGCTTGATCCTAGTTTTTTTCTGCTGCAGTTTTTTCTATTTCTGACTATTTCTATGTTGCGGCCATTTCGACTCTAAATTAGTATGTTGCGCCTTTGGGCGGCCAAAGCGCTTTTAGCGACTTTCCAATTCACAATCCGAAACAAGTAAGAAAATTAATTAATGCATTTTACGTGAAATTGGGAGAGTTAGCTTGACCAGAACAAAGGTATATTAATGATTTGTCATTTTTTTGTTGTGAACACTTATTTTTAAAAAGATTAGAATTGCTAAATATTTCGTATTTTTCTGATCTGAATTTATCTGAAAAGTCCAACTAAAATTGTTACAAGCAATTTTTGTTTAATTGAAGTATTTCCTACTGCGGGACACTGGGAATCAAATATCTAAAGGGATCCTCGTTCAGTTTACCGTTCGTGAGAAAAAAATAATTCGAAAGGCTGTTACTCAATGCATCACTCAGATGGAATTGTTTTTCAGCAGAAATTTTTGGTCAGCTTCTCAATTCAAAACTAAATAGTTTGAAAAATTTTGTCCCATTGAAGTTTCGTTTTCCTGTGACTTATAATGCGATGCGAACTTGCGCGACCCGTTTTCAGCTATGTTTTTACTTAGCGCGACTCAAACGTCGGGTGGGAGTATGAAATTTTCATGAATTTCTAAATCTCAGGGGGTAGCATGGTGTTTTCGCATGATGGTACACTGTTTGTTTGTCCCCTTTTCTGTTTTTATATCGATAGGTTCGTGCTTCCTTGTCTGACTCATACGAAGTGAGCACAATCAGCATCATTAAGCAGTGATAAGAAAGAATTATTTATTTCAAAAAAATATATACAAAAATATCTGGCAAGAAAACTTGAAGATGTAATCTTCGAAAAAATTTTAACAAAGTTCTAGCAAAAATTTACCTTAAAGAAAACCTCAAAACTGTATTTTCAAAAAAGCACTCCGACGCTTCTTTTACCTGGATGTTCGAATTTCCCGATTGAATCAGTTCTTTCTGGAAAATCAAGTTGACTTGAGTCATTACCAAACTCCTGGTGTTTTCATCTCCGGAGTTGAATTTATCTATTTGCTTCTGAGAAAGTTCGATCTCGCTGGTTAAATCAGGAGCAAGGCTTGCAGAGCGTTGAATTTTTTGTAGAACTGCGAAAAAGACACAGAGAGCGGGAACTAAACTGGTCATAACGAATCAGCAGTTTTTGATTTTTTCAACTCGGACAAAAACTGAAGCAATAAGGAAATGAAAGCAACAGACAGAAATGGGACTATTTGTAAGCTATAATTTGAACGCGTTATACTTAGAGATAAAATTCTTTTTGGTCATAAAAATGAACTCTTCTGGTTGCTGAGAGAAAAAATGTTTGAGCAAGTAAAACAGAAATTACTGTATTGAGACTTGTTCTCGCGATAAAATAGAAATTAACCGCATATTTTGCTAAATAATACAAATATTGTATGACTAAATCCAGAAAAAGGTAGAGATTTTCGCAAAAACGAAAATTCATGTTTATAAAATATTATAACTAATTTGAGTGTTGTTTTTTATTGTTTCAAGAGGTTTCAATGACTAAAACATTCAATACAGTTTAATGCCCGAGAAGGGAGGTTGGTATTAAAAAACTTAGTTTTTGGCATGCAAAAAATGTTTTATTATAAATGAACAAAAACCTTCAAAACTTTTACGTTTTGTATATGACTGGAAAGCTTCTAACCTGGACATTGTTTTTTTCTTCCAAAATTAGGCTTTTGTTGACCGATATAAGCTTATTTTCCCAATTCAAAACTCAAACATAATAACTGTGGCTTTACATAAAGCACAGATTGGAACTTTAAGTTCAAAAATAGTCTCCAATACAATAAAATTGCAAAATTTTCTTGTACATAAATTTTCGACCAAAAAATCATTTTAGCATAGAAAGAGTTTTGCGATATTGCAAAAGATTTAAAACTTATCTTGTAAACTTTAGATGAAAAAAAAGTTAAATATTTTATTCTTGATTGAGCCTCCTGGATAAGCACTTACCAAGTTCCAGGCCAGGATTTCTGATTGTTTTTTTTTATTTCATAGTATATAAATCCGGCGCTTCAACTTTGCCGTCGATTAGCTAAGACGAAAACGAAAATTGTGAAAATTTAATCTTTTTTCATAAGATTTTGATGGTTATTTTTGGAATTGTTGTCAGCATTTCTGGATGGCTCTTTGGTGGCGGAGACAAAATAGTAAAAACTTCAAAACTCGATTAGTTGACTTAATAAAAAAAGAAGTTTTGCTATATTTTCAATGATAGTTCCAGAATTTTCAAATTTTTAGCGTAACTTTTCACGTTCAATTTAGTCGTCTGCGCATCATAGAGAAGAGAAGCATCTTCTCTTGGTATTCCGGGCTCTTTTTGTTCATTTTGTTTTTGCCGAACATCATACTAAAGCCGACTCCCGTATTGTCCTTGCAATCACTTCCTTTGCTTTTGACTCGCGTGGGAATCGAAACGGGCTGTCCCACCGATTCATTAATCGCTTTCCCCAGGGTAGTTATAACATTTTTAGCATTGAAACTGTTCCATTTGTCGATTGGAACACTTTTTTCAATTTGATCTGCCATAAGGCTACAGTAGGAGCCAATTTTCCAGTTACCAAGTTTGACACTGCATCGCGAAAGAGAGCGCTTATCTAAAAGCACAAACACAGCCAACAGAAATTTGGAGAAGTCTATCCATCAATTTTATAGTATTCATTTTATACAGATTAAATAATTGTTGGACACACAATTACTACAGGACTGCTCGTATCAGGGCGAAGCTTTGAATGTTCCTACTGTCTTTTAAAATCGATGCAGCAGTTTGTTAGTAAATTTGTTAAAATGGGTAAATTTTTGAAAAAAAAAAACGAAAAAAAAAATTGAAATTTTCTTAAGATTTTTTTTGAGAATCATCGACCCAAACACTATGTTTTGTACAATGTGGTATATCTAGCATATAGTAAAGCTTTAAGTACACCAAGTCGCATGCCTCAGTTCAAATGGTAACAAGTACTAAGACGGATTAAACAGCACTAATTTAATTGTGGGTTAATAATCCCAAATAGGCTAAAATGGTATTAATTAAAACCCCATAATTTTTCTTAAAACTGACCGAGGAGAAACATTTTTTTTTAAATTGAGCTCAAAATAACAATAATTTCGAAGAATATGACAAACTCAGCTAGAAATGTTAGTTAAAAGCATGGAGAAAAAAGTTGAGTTTGTCGGTTAAATTTATCCGCTTTTTTAGTCCTTGCACAAATTATCCGCTTTTTTAGTCGAAACCTTTTTTTAGAAAAAGACGGAACATTTATTTTCGGTTTGTTTTTTTTTCTCCAGACAATTTTAGATTTTTAAATCAGCAAACTGACCTAACTTTTTAATATTGTTTGAATGGTATTGTTTTCCTGAGCTCAACTTTGAAAAGATATGTCCCCGTTAAAAAATGTTCGTTAATCGCTCCAAGTAGGCTTCTTCTGATCATTTTTAAATCCCGATCCGGTTTATGGGGTTTTCTTAGTTACCGGAATGATTTCCTCAGACAGAAAAAACTAGTCATACAATTCCATAAATTAAGTCTATGAAAAAACTAATCATACGAATTTATTTCATTTTGTCAAAACGGTGTCATCGAGTTTCCAAAGAGTCTTTTTCTTGTTTTGAGTGAAGACCTCTATGTATTAAGATAGGTTGCAGACTATCCGGTCTTCACCCTTTGTATTAACATAGGGAATAGATTTCCCAATGTATTAAGATAGGGAATAGGTTTTCCAATCTATTAAGATACCAGGTTTCCGATGGTAAGTTTTTTTTCCGAATTTCCCATGTATTAGGATAGCGTATAGATTTCCCTATGCGTAAGGATAAGAAATTCATTTAGGAAATTAAGAGCTCATCAAGATAGGGATTGGTCTTCCCAATGTTTTAAGATGTATTTTTTCTCGATATATTTTTTTTCGGCGTCCGAATTTCCCATAGCGTATAGATTTCCTTATATGTACGGGTTAGAAATTCATTTGGGAAATTAAAACCTCACTAAGATAGGGCTTCCCAATGAGCTTCCCAATGTATTAAGATAGGGAATGGTAAGGTTTCAGTGTGATGGTAAGAGAATGGCAAGAAAAACGGTAATTTTTAAAATTTTGTTTGGAAATGTCTAGTTTTTTTTTTGCAACATTTTTGGCGCGCGTTATCTAGTTATTAGATATCAACGGTTAATTACCGAAACTGTTCTGTTTTTTGGTTCATGGTAAGTCAATGGTGAGATGCGCAAAATTTAGGTTTTTAAGAAAAAAAATGAAAGTTTTTCAAAAAGCTTTAAGCACAATAAGATTCGATATAACTTGACTTAATAACTATTTTTTTAGATGATCTTACTTTTTAAAACAGTACTCAATCTAGCGAGAACTAGGCTGAAACCTGTTAAAACCTCGAAAAAATCAAGTTTTTTAAAAGAATTGCAGAAATGTCAAGGTTTTGGCTAGTTTTTTGGTTCCTTCTGATCTAATTGAAAAAAAATACATTTGTGTTACCCTTAAAAGTTAGCTCAAATTGTATTTTTGTTGGCATCACGTTCGGACAGTGATACAAAACTTAAAACAAAAATATGGATTTTTCAGAACTTTTCAGAAAATATTGAAATTTGATAAAACCTACCCTAGTTTGAGCTGAAAAGCGGTTTTTATAATGCTCTGATTACAAAAAAAGCTCGTAGTAGCTAAATCAATATTGAAAATTTCAATTTTTTTGGAAAATACTGAAATTAACTAAAATTTTTGAGAGAAAAAGATGAAAATTAATCAATCTATCGAAACAATTTTATTTTTAAACTTTAATTTGTGCAATTAACTGGTTTTTTGTCCAGTTCAAGGATATTTCATCTAAGACTATTGTTTCAAATGAACAATACCAGCAAAATTCTTTAAGTTTTTTAGATCAAACTCCATGATCTAGCTCCTCCTCAGTTTTTTCTCAATGATAAACCCAAACTTGTACAACAACTACAACTTCTGAGAGGTTTTTCACGTTAATTATAATAACGAACACCGGATCATTAATGAAAAATAAACATTTAACTGCTAAAATTGACTAAAATGTGGGTAAATGTTTCTTCAAATGTGTTAGATTGGCTGAAGTTCAACAAAATCTTCTTTAAAACTGATAATTATCTCTGTGTTGCTTCTACAACATAACTCTCATGAATTTCCATAGAATATTTCTACGTTTTAAGGTAATTCTCGCTTACTGCCTGTTACATGTTTTCGCTTTTGATCTCATTTTGCAAGAAAAATCAGACAGAACTGGGGAATTTAGGAGGAAAAAGTTTCAATTGAACGATCAATTTGCTGACATAGGTAAAATAAGAACTGATAAGGTCTGATTGTTACTACATAATCTGTACATGTTTTTCTATAGCTTCCCTTGTTCTATTACTACATGAAATTAGTTCAGCAAAACACACTTTTTGCGATCATTAACCATCAGTTTTCTCGCAAAATGTTTTTAAATTGCTTTTAATTCTTGATTTTTGTTCTCTCAAAAATGTTTAAGTGAGAAAAAGTCGGTGCTATATAAGACATTCAAAAGCATATGTAAAAATTGAGAATATACAGATGAAATTTTAGGTTTAGTTTTTAGAACAAATTACGAGCAGCTCTATTGTTTAAAAGCTGAAAGTTTTCGCAAGTAGAAAAACGCAAGTGAACCTAGTTTCTAACATCTGCAATATCTGAAAACTTCTAGAAGAACGCTTCTTAAAAAAACCGATTTACAAAAGGAAATCAAGGTGCAAACTGTTTTAATTGAATAAATTTTGCAAAATTTATTGGGCAAAAATTTCTATAATTCTATCTAATTTTCCAATAGAAAAAAAATTGAAGCTAACCAGAACAAAATCTTTACTGTGTGTCTAATTGAAATTTTTCATGTTCAATTTCATATAATTAAGAGATCCTACATCTAGTTCTACTAAAGTATCAGTTTCTTTAGAAATTTACAGTTCTAACTAAAGTTTAGAAAGCTCCATATAATTTTCTCTAAAAATCTGTCGACAGCAGTTTTTTTTTGTTTTTTTTTCAATATAATGAAATGTAGATCTTGTAAGCAAATTTTTTGATTTATGCTTCTTGTATTATCTTCCAAAAAATAACGAGTTGAGTTTACTGCAAAAAAAGTAGTAATACATCTAATATATCAAAAGACAAGAAATTTTGCATGAAATAACACATAAAGAGACTTTTCATGGTTGATTTTTCCCAAGATATGGTTTATAAGCTATATTTTAGTAAATTTATCTCAAAACTCTTAAAGAAATAAGCTGATTTTCTATCTCAATTTAGTTTTTTACAGTTTCTGCTAATTC